AAAAAAAAAACAAAAAAAACCCTAGGTCTTGGAAAATATGAGGAAAGATGCTGTCTCTGGGCTTACCACACCACTACGCTGCTTTCTTCTCTGCTGTCTGTGATTGGCTTCCACTGGGGAGTTCCTCTTTTGTCTCCGGGAGCTCAGGCCCACTTCCGGTTTCTGACCGCTAGCCAGTCATGCTGTCTCTGACACAGTTTTCACTAACTCCTCCAGGGCCTGCACAGATGTGGTGTCTGTCCCCAGCAAGTGGTTCTCCAGAAAGCATGTAGGAAGCTGTGTGGCCTGCCGGGGCCGGGGCTCATAATCAGTCCAAAGATGGAGGCTTCATCTCAGTGCTCCCCAAGTCATCTGGGACCACCTGCCTCCTCGCTCCTGTGTTTTCGCTTTCTTGAACAAATTAGCCAGACGATAGCTATAGAGGAAGAAAAACGTGATGTTCCTCAAATTTACAGCTTTCCAATTTCCCATGTCTCCTTGAGAGGCTGCCTCACTTGACAAGAGCATTTCCAAGTCCTCTCAGTGTTGCAGGCAGTCTCCTGGGAGCTTGTGGTGCCGTGGCATATAAACACAGACCCATTTCTGCCCTTACAGAGCCAAAGCTGGTGAATGGCGGGACCAACATTCTACATGCCTGGAGCTTGCAGAGTAGCCTGGATGGATCGCATTGCATTAGAATGGTGAGTTTCTTTTGTCGGATCCAGTTCTACCAATCAACATCCGAGGGTCACATGTGTTCAGCATTAGAGCTTCGTAAGGGAAAGAGTATCACTAAAGTTTTTGCAGCTCCAAACCCTATGCACTATGTCCAATCTCTCTCAGACTAGATCACCTCCTTGACTCCTCCAGGAGCTCGTCACATTCCTTCACTAGAGTGATTGGACAAGAACTAGGGGCAGAAGCTGATGTGGGCTGGGGCCCAGCTCAACTCAGCCACCATGGCAGGCAGGGCATATGAACAAGGGCGTCAATTCTCAGAAGTGGACATGCCTGGGGTCTGGTTATGTAAACAGGAGCCCAGGCAGAGAGGTTGCCAAGGTGGTAGGTGCAGGAGGGCTGGAGGTGAAGCCACCACTCTTGGTGCCCTCCCTGGCAAAGAGATGCCTGGCTATACTGCTGGAAAGCTTCTGATAATGAAGCCCTCTGGGAAGCCCTTCCCACCCCCAGATCATGCCCTGTGCAGGGAAGGATGTTTGGGGACGTGGTGTGTGATGGCAAGGGCCATCTGCATTGAGACCTCTGGTTTCTCCACTTGGCTTTGTTCAAGCAGGGCTGGTGGTTGGTAGATAAGCAGAGGAGGCTTATGGCTTGGGGGTATTTCAGTATGGTGAAATGGGCATGGGCTTTGAAGTCTAATGGCCCCGGTGTCCTGGTCTACTCTTTAGCCCTTGAAACCCAATGATCCTGTCACCATCCTGTAGCTAGCAGCAGTAATAAACACACCCTTATTCAGAGATGTGACAGGATGCTGACTCCTCATTTAGGTCAGTGGGTGGCTCTCCTCCAGGTGAGCATTCAGGGATCCAGGTTCCTTCCACTTGGTGGCTATACAGTCCCCTAAGACCCTGGAGACCTCTGCCTAGAGGTAAAGGTGAGAGAGAGGGTGTGTCTTAGCACATTAGCCCAGAGCCACATCATATCCCTTCCAGTCATATTTCCTTGAGCTGTAGGGCTTGGAAACGTAACCCCAGTGACTATTCTGTACTAGGGAAAGGATCACGTGAGTGTAACCAGACAGTTAGCTTCCCTGCCATGACCACTGGGCCAAATCTAAAAGCCTCAATGTCCCCATCTGTGAGGCAGAGAACATGAAACTCAACCTCAAAGAGCTGCTGCGGCATGAGGTGAGGGATGTGATTCACCTCCTGCCCCACGATGGGCCGGCCGCCCCCCCCCCCCACAACTGCTGTCAGTGCTCCATGTCCTTCTGTGCTTCTGTCTAAAGAGGCCTCAGAATGACCATCATGCAATATGCATTCTGCCTGGTGATGGTTACATAAATGTGAGTCTGTTCCACAATGACTACTAAGCAACATGTATTATCTACAGTGATTATTACCTCAACGCAAATGGACATTTCACTCTAACATATGTCCCATGAAATACACCTTCTGAGCCATGGACATAAGCTTTTAAATATTACCCTGTTGTTTGTCATTGTTTAAAAAGGACTTTTGTTATAAAAGCAATATAGGTCACTGAAAAAATTGCCAACAGGGAGGCACAGAGTGGGGCTTCAGTGTTTCTTGCTGACCCTCCAGGCCTATTTGGGTAAATAACCACTGCAATGACTTTGGTTTAGAAACACCCTATACTTAAATGTAAGCATAGGTAAATGATTTTATTTTGCATAATAGCAAATCATGCTAAAATGCTATTCTGCAGCCTTTCCCTCTGTTTCCATATGTGCTCTGATGCACTTTTTTAACAGCTCCATACTACCCCACTGTGGGTATGGGCTGCAGTTTGTCTGACCAGAGATGAGAACTTTAGCAATAAGTAAAAAGTCATCATGTTCTAACTTTCTTCTGGGGGATGATGGGCCACTCCCCACACCTATCTTCCCATCAAACTGCAGGCACCCCAAAACCCCATGGCTGCATCAGGTGTCCACAGCTCTCACCAGAGCACCATTCATGTCCTGGAATTGGACCAGGTTTGTCCCCAAACCCTTGCTTGTTCTCTCAGGGGTGAGGTTAAGGGAGTGGGAAGAGGAGTGAAAAGCCTGCAGGAACCCTTCCCTATGCCGGAGCCCAAGCTAACCCAGAGGAGCAGTCCTCAAGGCCCCCCAGGGCACCAAACACACTTGGTTCAACCTTAAGGACATGGGCCCAGAGCGTGGAGATCATTAAAGGAATCTCCTCTTTGGCTCACGTCATTCAGGGTAAGATTTCCTAACATGGTGCAAAAACCAAGTGGCTCTAGCAACATTGCCAAGGTCCTGGGTGGACAGTCAAGGACTGGGCTGTGAAAATGAATTTGTACACCACGCCGTGGAACCCACCTGGTGCCAGTCCTCAACAACATTCCCCAATTTGGGGCCTGTTTTGCTTCTCTGCACACCACTTTCGCACGTATCTCTATGTTTGAACAATTGCATTTATACATTTCTAATCTATCTTCCTTCCATCTTAATCCCAGGCAACATCTTGGAGCCACAAGTTGGGTGTGCTAGTTATGCCCAACCATTAGGGCACATGAAACTCTCACCAAGAAAGTCATTCATCTCTGCACCTCCTAAAATCATTGCCTATATCATGCTGGGGGGTTGTGGTCCCAGGACTCCCACAGTTCTCCAGGGAGGGGCTTCCTCTGTACCATTTCAGAGGAGGCTCCTTAGAGATCTTCAGCACATGTGAGTTTCGCGTTATGAGCCAGCTATCCCTGTTTCCTTTCCTTCATCAGCACAGGAGGAGATTTTTGGCCACAACGATCCTTGTGGAATGTTTTCCTCTCTTTCTGGGAAGAAAAAAAGTGCCTCCATTCCCAATTCCCACTGAGGAGAAGCACTGAGGAGTGAGAAGCATCCAGGACTCTGGTTCCACAGATGTGGAACCTCTTTACTGCTAAGTGCTCTGGGCCAGGCAGGCATGAATCCTGCTCGTAGGCTTTTGGGTTTACTTGGTGAATTTGGCCTCCTTTTCAGCGCTTGGGTTAATGAGGTGCAGATGGTCCATAGCTGATTCCTTTCCTATGACAATTATTTCACAGGCAAGGAAACACACTCAATGGCTCCTTGGTGAATAGTTACTTAGTTTCTGAAATCCCGACTCTGTCTGGGAAAAGGTTTCTCATCAGAGGACAGATGACCCAAGAAGGACTTACTGAAGTACTGGGATGCATATTCAAGTCCTTGGCAGATACACGGGGAATCTGGAGATCTTGGTGGCTCCGTGTTTGCTTGCACGGAGATGCTGATACTATCTTTGTGGCAAGCGGTGCATTATTGGGTGACATTCAGAAATATTAGCACCCCATAGCAACTCACTCACAACCCCCATCATCCTGGCAGTGTCCCCAGATACACCCGTTCCTGTTTTGGCCACACCTGGAAGGGCTCCTCCAGAAGCACTTTTCCCTTATGTTCAGTAGTCCTTCCCTTCAGAGGCATCGGTTGCCTCCTGTGGCCTCCTGTGAAGTTTGGGCCAGTTTATTCAGTGTGACCAAACACTGTGGGGGGAGGGGAGACTGAGGATTAGTATTGTGCTCTGACAACAAACAACAACGAGGAACTGGTAAGCACAGTGCAGACACTGTCCATCCAGAGAGCCACAGAGCTTGTTGACAAAGAATTGCTGCCCTCCTTTTGCAGAGGAAGTGACAAGGTCTGGCTGGGCATTAAATTGACAGATGCAGAAAAGCGAGTGGGTGGAGTGTTACAGAGAAGCCCACACTGGACTCACACTCAGACTCCACACCGCATCTGCCTGTCCTCCGGAGAGTTGGATTCCCTGCGCTCCCACGAGTCTGTTGGGTCTGGTTGAGTGGGCTAAATCTTGTCACTCACAAACTAGGGATTTATCCACATTCTGTCCTGCTTGGTGCTTTGTCCAGGAATCCAGTTTTTTCTCCAGAGTAGGAATCTCAGCCCCCTGAACACATGTAGCCACCTCCTTCCTGCATCCAACATGGATACCAAGAAACAATTTGTGTGTTTATCTGGATAAAAGACTGAATTGAGAGCTACAGCCTCTGCATACAACATGGTGACTACATTCCAGGTCAGATGGGGCAGGCTTTGCTCTTGTTAGGCTTATTAGAGCTGTATCCTTTCAAAGATCACAGAGAACAGCTCCAACTTGTCCCACGCAGGGTGCTCAGCAGCAGTACACAGCACATGTAGCTTCAACCTCTGGAGGTAAGGCCTCCGGTCGCCTGAGTCTGCTCACTGCTCAGGGACATCCTTCAGGGAGGACCCGAAGCTCAACGCCTCACAATTCACTTCCTCTCTTGCAACATCTCCCGAGCACATGGCTGTGGCAGGTTAGCAATGAGCCTGCTGGCTTGGAGATGAAGGGCTGGGGGACCATCAGCGTCAGATTGTGTTGGTCTGTAGGAACTTTGGTCCAGCTGCCCCTTTGGGGTTGGTGGAGCTGATAGGAGGGGAAGGGCCAGTCATCCCTGCCTGCCATGGAGCTCCAAGCCCACTTGGGTTGGTCTTGATTATGGTGGAGCTTTCTGCCTAAGGTCTGGGGCCACACTGAGAAGTGAGCAGCAATTTCCATTCTCCCTGAGTTAGATTCTGGGTGTGCCCAACAGTGACCTCTGGACAGATGGCCATCAGGAGGTCCTGTTTGCTCACCTCAATGGCTCCAGGCACCAGCATCTCTAACGTCCTCTAGTAGGACCCAGGACAGTCCCCTAGCCACCCCAGGCCTTCTTTTCACAGCTCTGAGTTGATGGGTAGCACTCTGTGGTTTGGTCTAGTTAGGAGATTTCCAATCTGTGCTGGTAAGTGAGAATATGTGTGCCTTACAAGTGTTGCCTGTGTAGAAAAACACCACCTCCTACCTGTGTGAGCCACTAATCTTTGAATATTAATGAATGAATATAATTAATAAAATGCATGCTTATTTGTACAAATAGCTAAATTCATTATAGACTTTTGTCATTAGGTATTTTCTTGATCAAGAAATATTAAAGGGGCTGAGGATATAGCGCCATTGGTAGAGTGCTTCCCTCATATGCACAAGGCCCTGGGTTCAATCCCCAGCAACACACACACACAAGAAATATTAAATAAACAAGCATTTCATAGGGTTTGGCATATTTGGGGGTTTATGTAGGGAATACGGAAGCTGTTGCTGCTAAAGAGGAACATCAAGGTTGACTCTGTGATTGCCTCAAGGCCCAGGCCCATATGGGGTGCAGGAGCAGGGACACACAGTGGGACTTCTGCCTGGGGGGACTTGAATATCGTGCACTCTCATGCTTGTGCAATGCCCAGTTTGTTCTCTGATTTTTAAAAAATTATTCTAATTTGTTATATATGACAGCAGAATGCATTTCAATTCACATTATACATATAGAATAAATTTTTCATGTCTCTAGTTGTACACAATGTAGAGTCACACCATTCATGTCTTCATGCAGGTACTCAGAGTAAAGATGTCCATCTCATTCCACTGCCTGTTCTCTGATTTTTAAAATTAAATATTTTTAAAAATATTTTGTTTGCTTAGTTGTAGTTGGACACAATACCCTTATTTTATTTTTATGTGGTGCTGAGGATCAAACCCAGGGCCTCACATGTGCTAGGCCAGCACTCTACTGTTGAGCCACAACCCCAGCCCCTTAAAATGAAATTTTAACCTAAATTCATCTTTGCATTGCATAGACCCAATCTGAGTCTATCTGGTTAGTTCAGGAGAAGTGAAGGTGCACACTTATTGTTTGACTCTGGCTTTACAGAGACAGGATGACACACTTGGTCTGATGCTGGAGCAGCCCCACGTCCCTATCCAGCAGGGAAGAGGCAAAGCATGTTGGGTGTTGGGACACTGCTCTGTTTCTCCTGTGGGAGGGCCCCAACAGCACCTCCACCTGCCACCTGTACCTTCCCTCCAACGTGGGCTACGTAAGCGGGCTTAGGGGTCCTGGACCACATCTGCCTTGTGGAGTAGCAGTCTGGCCTTAGCAGGAACACATTCAGAAATACTGTTGAGTGAACAAGTCGGTGAGCAGATGAATCCATGAACAGTTAGGTGTGTCTTCAATGTCTCAGGTTAGGGATGGAAATGTTTGAAGGAGACTTTAAAAGTGCAGGTCATTGTTTATTATAAGAGGGCTGCTGCAGTTTTCACCCCTGTGTGGACTTCCAGAGGGCTGGAGTGTTGAACCAAAGACCTGTTTTCCCCTTGATTATAGAAACAGCACATGCTCGTTGAACGGGATGGGGACAGTCCATGGCCCTCACAAACACCTCTCCACAGTCCTGGCTCATCCTTCCACACCTCTCCTGCACGTGCTCTAAATGGCCTCTGCTCACCACCCTGCTCCATTCCCCTCCACCCTGCTCTGTCCTCCTGTCCCCAGGAGGGGACCTTCCTGGCATAACTCAAGCTCTTTTCCTGCTTCCCTTTATGGTCAGTGCAGAGAGGTGTGGCAGGTACAGAGCCTGCAGGCTGAGAGGCAGGGGACAGTCCCCTGCCCCGTGTGAGCCAGCCCAGTCTTTCTGGCTCTGGAACCCACTGCCAGACTCACTTGGCAGACTCCGTCCTCCCCAGTCCCCCATGCTCTCCTCTCCCATCTGTGCTTGGTGGCACATGTTCTGCCCGGCAGGTCTGGAGTCGCCCTCCCGTCTTCACACTTTACTTTGCCCACTGATCTCCAGGAGGCCTCTTCCCTGAAGCTCCTTTAAATGGACTTCTTGATGACTCCTTCCTGCCAGGACCCTGTGACAAGACACAGCTGTCGCCGTCCTAGAACATTTCATCTTATAACTTGATTATTAAAGTTAACAATATTCCACTATAGGAATCTTTTAATCCCAGTAAATGTAATTTTGCATCCTTGTTATTTTGATTGATAAAATATCCAGTAGGATATAATTAAATCCCACAAACAATTATTGAGCACCAACTACATACAGGACACATTCCTACCCTTGAGTATGCTGTGATACTACATGGGCCTTACCACACACATGGAACAACTGGAAGGAAAGTAAAAGGTGTCATGAAGGAGATTCCCCAAGAGCCGGGGTGGGGGGGTGGGGGGGTGGCAGAGAACAGTGTCCTGGAGGGGGCAGCAGTGTCTGTGGTTAAATAAACAAGAATTTCCTGGTGTCTGGCATATTTGGGGTTTATGTAGAATCCCTGAGGCTGACGGAACTGGGAGACTGAAAGCCGTCCCAGGCAAGAGCTCCTGCTGGAACCCAACACCTAAGGTCCCCAAGCAGGGAGGAGCAGGGTTTACCCAGCAGAATGAAATACTCTTCCCATGGCACTCATTCATCTCTCCTTTAAGGTGGTTTCCTGGCAGTGTGGTCGTTTTCTGTTCCCTGGAGACCATAGCTCCAGGAGGCCAGGGGCTCCTCCTCATACCCTTCAAGAGCCCCGGCTGGTGTGTGGCTTCAAGTGAACACTGGATAACAAAGCGGAACCCTGATTCCTTGCACTCTCTTGGTGGGGGCGAGGCTGAGGGCCTTGTGGGAAGCTCTGTGCACCTGGCTCCTTTTGGAAATGGCCCCTTTCTCTTTTCAAAACACTCCTGCATTTTTATGCTTACAGGGAATCGTTCATGTGAGAACACAGTGTGGATGGGATGCTGCCCCTGGAGAGGCTGGTGACACTCTCCCCAGGGTTCCTTCTCCTGAGTTGGATCAGGAGTAGGAAGCCTTCCCTCCTCCTGGGAACGAGTTGGGAGAAAACCTGACGCTCTGATCTCTTGCCACTGGTTAACAGGGAAGCCTGCAGCGAATGGTTCTGCAGGGCAGGCTGACCTTTGAAGCAGAGGCTTCGTCCAGAACTGAGTGGGCTCTTCTGCCAATATTAAAACTTTAGCGAGTTTCCTGCGGCATCCCAAGAACAGCCAGAGGGTATAGACGTTTGCCATGGTCACTTCCTTTCTCTTGCCCTCCCCATCTTGCCTATCCTTCTGTTCGGCAGCTTCGGGGTTTTTTGTGGGGCAAGAGAGGAGGGCAGAGTTTGGGATACCCGTTCAGCACTGTTAGGAGCCAGCCGGAGATGAAGATTGAACAGCAGCAGCAGCAGCCAGTAAACAGAAACTGGGCAGAGATGGGTGAAGAGCAGGAGCATGTGCCCCACCAGGTGCTGCCTGTCTGCACCTTCAACAGACAACGCGCCTCTCTTAGATTCACGTTCCCGCCATAGGATGGAGACAGCGACGCCCATCTGCCCTCACAGAGTCCTGAAAAGAGTGGAGGGAAAGGGTGAGTGGACATCCCTAGTGTGACCTCTGGGGTGGGCTCACCACATTTCATTCTTTGTCTCCCTGTGCTCCTGAGCACTGTTTTTTTTTTTTTTTTTTTTAATTTCAAACTCTCATGGGGAATAAAGGTGCTTTCTTTCACGAAGGAGCATCTATTACTACTATGAGCAGTGCAGCGCCTTGAAGGCATGCAGCACATATCCTATCTGGAAGTGGGTAGTTGGGGAGGAATCAGGTTTATCTGGCTCACAGAGTTTCTCCCCATGGTCTCATCATTCTGATCCCTGGAAGAACTTTTAAACGAGCTGAGTGTCTGCCTTCCTCCTCTGAGTCCAGTCCTTCTGCCGGCTCCTGCCCACACGAGGCATGGCCTGGAGTTGAGCGGCCCTCCTGGGCCTGTGGCAAGCTGCTCAGGAGAAGAGGCTGGTCTGCACGGATGGAACCCCAGGGCATCCTGTTTCGATGGCCTTATAAACACCCAGGAAAGTCTGCTGGCTGTTGAAAACTCAGATTCTAAATACTGTTTACCCCTGAATCATTTGTAATTCCTTTCCCAGCTCACATAACTGTAAACTCCTACAAAGTGCTTTATAAATACTCATTAGAGTCTCACAAAAGTCCTTTGAGCTCCACATGATTATCTTCACTTGGCAGGTGAGTAAACTGAGTCACAGGAGTTGAAAGATCTCCTCAAAGCCATGCCAAGAGCAGGGGTAGGGCAGGGCCAGAGCTCAGACTTCCTGGCTCCTGGGCTGGTGAGCAGCTCTGCAGAATGCACTGTGTTAGGCAGGTCCAGACCCCCAAGTGCCCGGGGGGCCCATGTTACCACTGGCCCCCTCAGTTCACTGGGACTGGCTGAGGTCCTCAGGCTGAGACCTCACTCCAAGGGCAAAGGCTCCACTTTGAAGAGTCAACCAAGATCCATGCCCCACAACCACCCATGGTCTTTCTTCCAGACTACATGGCTGCATGGTCCTCTAGCACTGGTTTTAGTGGCCCACAGAGGGACAAGCAAATAGAGCAGAAAGATTGGGGGTTTTCAGCTTTCCTGTGTGTTGACCAGCTAAAAACAGCCAATGGGGCATGTGTGGCAAGCATGCACTTGTTTCTGGCCACACGATCTTTGAGCCCACCTCTTTTATTTGGGTTCCACACCAGGGAAACAGAGAAGGCTGGCTACCTGCTTTCTTAGCCCCTGGAAGTGGGGTGCGGGCACAGGACCCAAGCTTGGCCCCCTGGAGGCCCTGTCTAGGCCTCCTGGTGTGGAATGAGTGGGGAAAAGCAGATCGGGAACACTGTAGCCCTCCCTGGTGGCTGGCAGTGGAGGCCCAGTGTCCTGTGTCTGTTTGTGCAGTGCTGCGGGGCCAGAGTGACCCCTAACTCAGGGCCTCAGGGTCACCTCATTGCCAGGATACCCTGCATGACCTTGGCAGGGGCCACAGCAGCCTGCCCTGGTGTGCTTCCCTCCTGCCCATCCAGGAAACTTCTGCACTGATCCGTGCATTCCCACTCCTTGGGCAGTGCCTCCTGTGCCCTGGCCGATGCTCACATGGCTGCTTCTTCTGCTCAGCCAGCCTGGCCTGAATCCTCAGCTCATCCTTCAGCTCATCCCTTTCCTGGTGATAATAGAGGGTCAGGTGAGCCTTTGGTCAGTGTCCGAAGGTATCAGCTGCCTGAGCGGGGTCTCCAGACCTTTTCCTTTGCCCTCACTATGCTGTTGAGAGATCCAGAGCCGAGGCTTGTTTACTGACCACAGACGGGCAAGAGACAAAGCATGAGACCAGAAGCCGGAAGGGCAGAAAGCCTCTGGCTCCCCAGTGCCATGTCACCAGGGTTGGTCAGCATGTCCCCCTCACAACACGCTGTTACCACATGGGCTCTCATCACCATACCACATCACTGTGCCCAGCATGGTAACTTCACATACCTCATCAAACTGGCCGTGGTAGGTGCCTCTTAGCAGGTTGCTTCCTTCCAGAGTCCTTCCCAGCTTGGGCATGGAGCTGAGGCAGAGCAGTCTGCAGCAGTCAGTGGGGAGCAGACTGTCCAGCCAGTACTCCATGCTGCAGGGACAGTGGCACTGCCAGAGCATCTGGACATGCTGGGGAATGGGATCTTTATCATGGCCGTGGACAAAGCTCTTCTTGGACTCCTAGAAGACCATGTAGTCAAAGCCTACCTTTGTCATTCAATCCTCCTAATCCATCATTATTGCCCCTGTTTACAAGGAGGCAACTAAGGTGTCAGGGCCACCCAGCCCTGGGGTGTAAACCGTTTGCCTTTGTCTGGCTCTGGGCAGTCCCTGAAGGTTTCCAAGGCCCACAGCTGGAGGTTTTATTCCAGTAGACCTCAGGAGGGTGAGGGGGATGAAGGATGGGTCAGGCACCCCCGTCCATGCTGCAGGAACCTGATCCCTTCAGACGGCTGGGGACACTGGTGGGCGTGCCCCCGGGCAGTGCCTCCCTGGGCAGTTCCTCCCTTGCCCTGGCCGATGCTCACATGGCTGCTTCTTCTGCTCAGCCAGCCTGGCCTGAATCCTCAGTACAGGCAGCAACAGTCCCTTGGAGGTGGCTTCCAGATGAGACCAATTTGTTGTGCCCAGCCTGGAGTATCCAGGAAGGGTATTGAAGAAGTGGGATTGTATCACACAAATTCAACAAGAAGGAGAGCCCCACGGTATCCCTGAGTCTCAGATTTCACTCTGTTGGGTCATGTAGGAGGTGACCGTAGAATTTTTCATTTTTGGCCTGAGAGGGTGGATTGTTATCTCTAATTTACCTACTAGTTAAGAGAATGCTACTCATCACTACATTTTGTAGCATGTAACTGTCACTGGAACGGTTTTGTGGTTAATTTTTTTTTTAAGCACTCAAATGACCAGTGTCTGTCCATGAACCAGATATACTTATACATGTTGGACCTATTAATTAAGGCCAGATCAATCATATTCCGTCAGCGGCAGGGCCCAGGAATGAGTTCCACCCAGCTCCTCAGGGTCCAGGCGGCCAGCCGCTCTGCCAGCCTCAGTGTCTTCCAAGATCACTGGGGTGTTGACAGCCAGGAGGCAGACAGAAGAGACAGTGGGAGGGAGAGGACCGCCAGGAAGTTTAATAGGTCATTGGTAGAGGCACCTTGGCCAGAGCACAGTCCTCTGACCAGCACATCCTGTCACATGTTTGTACTCGGCTGTCAGAGACTGGGAAACAGAGCCTGGCATGCCCAGGGGGACAGTGAAAAGCTAGCAGAGTTCCCTGGGGCTAGGAGGGACTGCGGCACACCAAGGAACAGGGGGTCCCTCAGAACCCGAAGTGGGGGTGCTTCAGCCAATGGCTTATAATCTTGGAATTCCTGGGTTGTTCCCACAGTGGACCATCAAATGCATTCAATGTGACAATTTCCAAATATGAGTAGTTTTTTTAAAAAAATAAGAGAAATAAATACTTTAGATCTTTTCCATAATTTTAATGATTTTACAATTTTTTAGTCACCCTGGAGTTTTCTCCATTTTGTTAGCAATCTCATACATTTTTTGCAGCTCTTTATGATTTTAGAAATGCCTGTCTGGCCCATTTTATGATTTTGTTCGTGTCTCCCAAACAGCTCTTGGAGTCCAGGAGAAATGTATCTAAATCTGTTCTGGCCTTCTCTTTATTCAGGAAGATGGGAGGGATGGTGGAAATTTCTGGCTTCTGAGTAAAACTGTTGATCTGGGCTCTTTCTTGGAAGTAGTTGTCCCTGGTGGAGAAAGTGCAGGTTCTGAGACTGTTTCTGCTGGGGACAGGCATTGACTTCTTACGCTTCCATTACACAATGAGAACTACAGCACCAACATCGAAGGAGGTGCTGGGCCAATGGTGCCCTTGTCCACAATCATCCAAACCGGTGTGGTGTTAATCTCATTGTCAATGCCAGCGTCAACAAGCTGCCCCCGGAACTCAGACATGGCTGGGCTGTGTGGGCAAGGTTTACGCCTGGAGATAGGAATTTGTACCTTTATGCTCAGAACAAAGGTGTGGTGGGGAACACACTCTTGCTGGCCCACCCATGAAGGGCTCCCAGAAACAAATGGGTCTCCCAGAAACAAACCTTGTGGGCTCCTAGCCCCTGCTGAGAAGTGACTCAGTCTCCCCACTGATAAAAAGGGGATAAAGCTACAGCTCTAAACTTGCCTGTAAAACACATTGAACGCCTTGAAATACAGGTGCTATTTAGTGTAAGTTCAAAGCATTATGTAATTATTTTATTGCCCCTTTTATTCCTGAGATTTTTCTGTTTGCTCGGCTTATAAACCATGCCAGAGCCATAAAACCACTTTACTTGAGGCCCTTCACACACATCCTGTGCCCACTGCATCGCCTCCGATGCGAAGGTGCTTGGGAGGGAGGGTGGGGCCCTGCAGAATTCGATCTCAGTGTCCGCCCACCTGGAGCCATCCCGTGCCCTGTTGCTGAAATAGAGCCCTGGCCCGATGATTTTTTTTTTTTTTTTTTAGCCATTCGAATAACAATTTCTGCCCCATGAACTGGGTCGTTTGCAGAAGTGGCCGTCAGCTAAGATGCCCAAACACCCAGTCAGTTGTGATTCTCAGCTACTCTTTCCCATGAACTCAGAGCCTAGGTCTTGCCATCATATTCTCCAAGTCCTATCACCTGAAATCATGGAGTCAGAGAAGCTTCTAGTTGAAAGGGGCCCTGGAGATTGGCTGCTGTCATGGTCCTTTAGCAGGGTGGGCCTTCTCTCGGCATCTCAAGTGGATAGTGGCCTTTGTCAGAAAACATGGGGCCACCTGCCCCTGCTTTGGGAGGCCTCCTCTTCTATTGTTGGTGGATCAGGTTGCAAACTGTCCTTCCTTAAGATGAACCAGATACTGACTGCTCAGGTGAGTCCCATCGAGCACTCAGTTCCCACCCTGGCCAAGGCAGCAGGCAGTGGGAGAGGCTGGGGAGGCTCTGACATCCCAGGCCTCCATCAGCAGCTGGCGGAATGGCAATTCAGGACCCACGAGGGCATCTGTTTGGTTCTTTCTGAACTCTGCTTTACAAATCTTGGCAAGTGGTGACCCTTTAAATGAGTTGCTGCTTGGGGTTCTATTTGTCAAGGCCATTACAGACTAGGAATGCAAAGGCATTCAAGAATGGGCCAATAGCTCCACAGGGCGAGGGTGTTCAGATCCTCAGCTTGAGAGACTAACACACTCAGTAGGTAGGCGGGAAATTCTATCTGGGAAAGATCACTGTAGGCGGGAAATTCTACCTGGGAAAGATCACTGCACATGTCACCCAGAAGTCTCACCTTGGGGTGTTAGAGAGGTACCCTGGTCACTTGGAGCCCCTCTCCTTTCCTCCATGAGTGTTAGGCATCATACATCACCCTTGCTCCAAGAACCACTTCCTCTTGCCTGGCAGCTATCCCACCCTGTGGACCACAGAGAGAAGACTGTGAGTGGGGTGAGGCCTCAAGGCCAGCAACCTGGCTTGTCCTGCAAGGGACTCCTGGATCTGCAGCCAGCCGGTGGCAGCTGGGCCCTGGGGCAGGTAGTCGGATGTTTTGCAGGGAGTCTATGATGAATGCTCGATAAAGTTTTATGGAATAAATGAATAAGTGAGCAAGTAAGCAAATCTGGGTCCACCCTGCATCTGCACGTGGTTCCAAAGTACTGGCCAGCCCCACGCTCACTCTTCGGTGCTCTGGGTTAAAATCCAAGTATTCCAGAGACACCTCCTGCATCTGTGAGCTCTGAACACACGCTCAGATCTTTTTCCTAAAAGAGCCTTTATAAAGCAGAGGATTCTAGAACCACGTCTCGTGGGATTCTCTTTTAATCTCTCAACAAAGATAGGTGGAAGAATTCATTATTCTCCAATTAAGTTGATCAGCATCCAAGAAAATCCAGCAGTGAGAGCACTCACTTCTGGGTTGTTCCTTTAACGTTCCTGCCCGGAGCACTTGGGCAGCATGTGACACCCATGGGTCCACGCATAGCAAGTGGACATCAGGACTCAGCATCCTGCTGCATAGATGCAAATCCGAGGTCCTCATGCAGGAGCGGCCAGGGATGAAGCTCAAGAGAGAAGCAGTGTCTGCCTGACCAGTTGGTCAGCCGCCGTCCAAATGCCCCGTTAATGTGGCTCTCAGGTGCGCCTTCTCTGAAGTTGGCTTGCCTGGCC